GGCGCGCTGCTGCCGCTGTGTGCGAACAGCGCGACCACGGCCGACCCTTGCCGGTCGTCCGACAACAATTCCCGTGCAACCTGACTTCAATTAACATAATCTGATATAACATGAACATGATCACTGAATTAACTTGAAAATATCACTTTTGCACGATGAACTGAATAGGGCCGTGGCAAGCGCACCGTACGCTGCCGACGGCGTTAGGCTGTCTCTCGACCGACTCAACATTTTCCTCGATAACTCAAGATCAACTAAACATGAAACATCATTTTAAAGCTGTTGAGACATAAATCACACGGACAATCTTGACCATAACAGAAGATAACATAACATGACTTGGGACGGCCCGTGGCCATGCGCGACGTGCGCTGGCGACGGCTTTGAGCCAATTCAAGGACAAAACAATATCTTGCTCCGACCAACATGACATAACTGAGTATAAAATGATTTAAACTGATCAAATAAACGTGAATTGTTTTTGAGTTGCCAGATGGAATTGAACTTTACTCGGTCATGACTGATAATGGCCTAAACCGAGTCTAACATGACATATTTATGAATTTCTGAAACATGAACCGAACACTTCAGCCTTAAATGAACTTATTAACATGAAACAAGGTTGAGGATGCCTTTACCTCCTCAAATGCTCGACGGAGTTCCCAAGCTGTTCGTGAACTCGCGTGTGCGTGCCCGTGTGTGATACCAACTACCTCTTGTCGTGCGATGCTTCGCCGTACGTCTACTGCTACTTGTCGTGCCTTTACTACTTAAGAACTTCTACTAATCTCACTAACTCTCCCACTCTTAACCTCAGATGTATGAAGATGTGCATATGTACGCTTAAAGGATGAAAAGAGATGGGCAAAATTTCGGACCAAACACTCTTATATATACTTAACCGAACAAAAGCCACATTATTTGGACATGAGGTAGCATAGACATGGCTATCTCTTAGCTTGCCATATGCTAGATAATTAAGTGTCTTATGGGTGACTAATCACCCTCTTAAATCCCCACTCAATGACACGTGCAAAAGCTTAAAATGGAAGGAAAATTACTTCCTTCATACTTAGGAAATTATTTACAAATTTGGGGAATTCTTTAAAAAAAATCCGGACGGCCTTAGGGAACATTAGTGGAAAAATGGTACGGCTTTTGAACCTTAATTGTGTGATTAATGTTTTAATTAATCACTTAATTATGCTAATTAACTTTTAAGCATAATTCTTAATTACCAAAATTATTCCGAACGTAAACGGTACGTCGAAAATAATTTTTCCGTAATCTCGACTGAAAATAATTAATTCCAAAAATTAATACTTGACAATATTAATATATCGGAACTAAAACAAAATATATACTGATGAACTGACGGGATATTACAATCCTCCCTCCTTAAAAATTTCCGTCCTCGGAAATTCAAAACATAACTGATAATACATAAACTATGTAAATAGAACATAAAAATATGTACATCAAAACTGAAAATCTGGAAAACGGGCGCGAATATTGGACTCCGCCTCCCAAGTAGCTCCGTGGCGATCCCACTGAATACGCACGAGGGAAACATCTCGCTTCCGGAGCCGTCGGACCTGACGGTCTAGTACAGCTACCGGTCGCTCCTCGTACGAAAGATCTGGCTGAACCTGAATATCTGAATGAGGAATAACATGATCGGGGTCGCACACGTACTTACGCAACATCGATGCGTGAAATACATTATGAAAGCCTGATAACTCGGGAGGTAGGGCTAATCGATACGCGACCTCCCCCACTCGCTCGAGAACCTCGAACGGACCGATGAATCAAGGGTGCAGCTTCCCTCTCTTTCCGAATCGAACGACTCAGCGAATCGGACGAACTCTAAGAAAAGCTGGCTCGCCAACCTTGAACTGAATATCTCGTCGATGATGATCGGCAGAAGATTTCTGTCGACTCTGAGCTGTCCTGAGTCTCTGCCGGATCAACTCGACCTGATCTGCTGTCTCCTCGATCAACTTAGGACCGAGTACTCGTCGCTCTCCGACGTCGTCCCAATAAAGAAGGGAACGACACTTGTGACCGTAAAGTGCCTCGTAAGGAGCCATCTGAATGGAAGAATGATAGCTGTTGTTATACGCGAACTCAGCGTACAGCAACAACGACTCCCACTTAGCACCCCTGTCAACAACCAAAGCGCGAAGCATATCCTCAAGCGTCTGAATGGTTCGCTTGGACTGACCATCTGTCTCCGGATGGTAGGCTGAACTGAACTCTAGCTTCGTGCCCATCGCCTCATGTAAACTGTGCCAGAATCGACTAACGAATCTGAGATCTCTGTCTGATACGATCGTAACGGGCACTCCGTGGAGTCGGATGATCCCAAGGGTATATATCTCAGCCAACTTATCCAAAGACATCTTCATCGAAACGGGTAAGAAATGAGCGACCTTAGTCAATCTGTCGACCACGACCCAGATAGCGTCGTGATGTTCAGACGACCTCGGTAATCCCGTAATGAAATCCATCGTGACTTCCTCCCACTTCCACCTCGGAATCGGCAGTGGCTGCAGGAGGCCGATCGGACTCTGATGTTCGGCTTTGACTTGCTGACAGGTCAAGCATCTCCTGACGAACTCAGCGACGTCCTTCTTCATGCCTCGCCACCAGAATGACCCTTTCAGGTCGTGATATATTTTCGTGCTCCCGGGGTGAGCTAGATAGGGTGCGGTATGAGCCTCTGATAATATCTCCTTCTGCAACGCCTCTACCTTCGGGACCACGATCCTGCCTCTAAACTCTAGGGCACCATCGGTACCTAGCTGAAAACCCTCGATGCCTCCGGCGCGAACCTTGGCCTCCATAACACGAATGAACTCGTCAAGAGTCTGCTCTTGCCGGATTCTCTCTCTCAGCATCGGCTGAAGCTGCATGGCACTGACAATGGCACTGACACTCCCCGAAACGACTGTGGGAAGTGCATCGATCGCCTAAAGCTGCATCCGGGCAAACTCCTGAATCAACGGACTTTGCTGTGTAATGACGTACGTCAAGTCACCCCTCACCTTTCGGCTTAGGCATCCGCGACGACGTTCGCCTTTCCCGGATGATACTGAATAGAGAAATCGTAATCCTTGACGAGCTCGAGCCAACGGTGCTGTCTCATATTAAGCTCTTTCTGCGTGAAGATGTACTGCAGGCTCTTATGATCTGTGAAAATCTCGCAATGTCCGTCGTAAAGATAGTGTCGCCAGATCTTGAGAGCATGAACAACGGCGGCTAACTCCAAGTCATGCGTCGGATAGTTCTACTCATGCGGCTTAAGCTGACGTGAAGCATATGCAACGACCTGGCCATCCTGCATAAGGACGCATCCCAAGCCCTGTCTCGAAGCATCGCTGAAGATGTTGAAACTCCGAGAAGGATCGGGAATAGTCAACATCGGTGCTGAAGTTAATCTCTTCTTGAGCTCCTGAAAGCTCGACTCACATCGGTCAGTCCACTCGAACCTCACAGACTTCCGCGTCAGCTGCGATAATGGGAGGGCAATCTTGGAAAAGCCCTCGATGAACCGGCGATAGTAACCAGCTAGACCGAGAAAACTGCGAACCTCGGACGGACTCCTCGGTGTCGACCAGTTCTGAACAGCTGAGACCTTGGAAGGATCCACCTCGATACCTGCCTGAGTAATCACATGACCTAGAAAAGATACTCGCTGGAGCCAGAACTCGCATTTGGAGAATTTTGCAAACAACTTTTCTCGTCTGAGGGTTTTGAGAACCACCCTCAGATGCTCCTCGTGCTCCTTCTGGCTCTTCGAGTAGATAAGAATATCGTCTATAAAGACAATAACAAACTGATCGAGGTAGGGATGGAAAATACAGTTCATGAGGTCCATGAAAACAGCTGGAGCATTACTGAGACCGAATGGCATGACGACGAACTCGTAATGGCCGTAACGAGTCCTGAAAGCGGTCTTAGCGATATCTGACTCTTTAATCTTCAGCTGGTGGTAGCCTGATCGTAAATCAATCATCGAGAACACACAGGCTCCCCTCAGCTGAACAAATAAGTCGTCGATCCTGGGAAGCGGGTACTTGTTCTTGATCGTCAACCGGTTAAGATCCCGGTAGTCGATACACATGCGCATGGATTCGTCCTTCTTCTTGACAAAGAAAACGGGTGCTCCCCAAGGTGACATGCTTGGTCGGATAAAACCGAGTCGTAACAGCTCTTGAATCTGCGCCTTAAGCTCCTGCAACTCCTTTGGTGCCATACGGTACGGGGCTTTGGATACTGGATCGGCTCCTGGAATGAGATCGATAGAGAACTCCACCTGCCGGTTAGGCGGTCCTCCTGGAAGCTCGTCTGGGAACACGTCCACAAACTCACGAACAACTGAAACATCGTGAGGTGATCGTGCTTTCGGAGAATCATTGACAAGGCTCACCAGATAACCCTGGCAGTTGCCTCGTCGCAGCAACTTAGTGGCTTTCACCATCGAAACAACATGAGGCAATGAACGATTCCTGGAACCAAAGAAAGTGATCGACTCGTCTCCCAGAAGATAGAGAGTAATCTCCTGGTCATGACATCTGATATCTGCATGATAAAAGGATAGCCAATCCATTCCGAGAATAAGGTTGAAGTCCCTCATCTCAAGAACAAACGCGTCGGTAGACAATACTCGGCCACTGATGGAAAGGCTAAGATCTGAAGCTTTAGCTGAGGTCACTATCTTTCGTCCCGAGGCTAGACTCACCTCGAGAGGATCGACAGCGGTAACGGCATGAATTCCGATGGCATCAAGACATCGTCGTGAAATGAATGAATGCGTTGCTCCAGTATCGAACAAAGCGAAAACAGGAATATCATTTAGCACAACCATCCCTGACATAGTACTTGGCTGCTGTGCTGCCTCTGCCTGATCAACCGTGTAAACCCGGGCCTGCTGTCTGCCCCTCTACTGCTGCTGCTGAGGCGGCCTCTGTGCCTACTGACGTGGCTGCTGCTGCTGTGGTGGCTGCTGAGGCTGCTGGGGCTGCTGCTGAAGTCTCTTCGGACAGCAACTCGCAAAATGTCCAGGCTCGTGGCAGTAGTAGCAAATGTCCTGACCCATGTGGCACTCTCCCCGATGAAGTCGTCCGCAAGTCGGGCACGGTGGAATCTGCTGTTGTCTCTGTCGGGTTCTCCTGTCAGTTTGAGCACCCTTTCCCTTCCTCTTTTTCTCCTCTGCCGGCTGAGCAGCTGGTAGGGCTGGTGGAGCTGTAAATGACTGGGCGGGGGCGGACGGCTGAGGACGATCACGGGCGGCCTCCCTCCTAATGCTGGCGTCCACCTCCTGGGCAATAGAAACTGCACGAGCGTAGGTCTGAGTCCCGTGTCCCAAAATGTTATGACGGACTGCTGGATAAAGCCCGTCGATGAACCGTTGTGCTCGCTGGGCCTCCGTGCGAACCAGGTCCGGAACGAAAGCTGCAAATCTAGTAAACTCTCTCTCGTACTCATCAACTGTACGAGTGCCCTGCTGGAGCGATAAGAACTGACGCTCCATCTCTGCCCGATAATAAGTGGGGTAGTACTTCTCACGGACTAGCTCCTTGAGCATATCCCACGTACATCCCGCCTTCTCACCGGGACGCATGCTCCAGTAGGCATTCCACTAGAGCCGAGCATCACCAGTGAGCTGAAGCTGAGCGCAGACAACACGGTATCTATCAGGATAATCCCTGACCTCGAAGATAAACTCCAGGCCCTGAATTTATTCGTCTACGATGCGGGGATCTCCTTGCCCGGAGAATTTTTCAGCGTGATAGTCGCGGAACTGTGCGACTACTGTGGCCTGAGTGGGAGCCGGATGATCGGGTTCCCTACGGGGCGACATCTGAACATTGAGAAAGTTTGACATTATTGAACACGTGATAATATTCTGACTGATTACTAAGGCACACAAGTCTCTTGACGAGTTGACAAAAATGGCCGATAAATACTGACGTGAAGCCTGAGGAACTCTAGAGTCATATCGGAAGATACTAAATTCTAGAGTCATATCTGAATGTCCTAAATTCGAAAGTCCGATCCTGATTCGAGCATCTTAAATAAGTCCTGACCCATAATTCTGAGCATAGACAAAGTAATATGTTTATAACTGAAAACATAAATCAGCACTTACCTGTAGTCGGCGGGGCGTGAGCGTGACGGTTCAGGTTTTTCTAAAAAAATATTGACTGAAAATTTTTTTTCAGAGACGTAGAAACGTGCTCTGATACCAATTGTAACACCCGCCTTATCGTGAAATCAGAGTGCGAAAATCTCGCAAAGTTATTAGAAATAAAATCTTTTACTTTCCGAAAACTGATTCGGGGTGCTATCGTAAAACGTGACTTATTTTGGAAAACCATTATTTTAATTTTTAGCAAAATCATACGGTTTATTAAAAGCATAAATTTTTCTAAAAGTCCGGTCAAAACATAAGTTCATCAACGTCAAAATCAGCGGAAACGTAAAATCGTCATAATATATACAATCATATCATAAAAGTCCTGAGGCATCCGTCAGCTAACGCTCCCGGCCCGACATCCTGACCTGAAAAACATGATAAAAGTGGGAAGTGAGCACTATGGCACTGTACTCCGTGGAAACTCATACTAATGTAAACATTGAAAATAATAACAACATCATGATCTCGGCATATACATAACCTGAACATGAAACCGGTAATAACATGAACATGAATCTGATATCATCACGTGAACGTGAACCATGACCGTTACCTCATCTGCCGGCACAAACTAATGTCGGACACCATGTGCACACTCTAGTGGGCAGACTAGGGCCACTAGAACCCAGAATGGACCGGCGACCATTCCGAGCGGATACATGACATGAAATACATACCTCAAACATGGTACCGTAATTATAATCAATGTAGTACTTAGTCTGAGTCCCCACCTGATCCGTGAAAATAAAGACAGTGTTGATACTCGTGACCTGATCAAACTTAAATATAATATAAACAATTACTAATGACTATGCTCAGAATGTTAACTTAGCTGATTAATTATGTTAAGATGCTCTACTGAACCTGATATGATATTTAGACTTAACCGGAATAACCGGAACTGATCTGACATGAACTGATCAGACATGAACTTACTGAAATGAACTAAACCTGGAATTTTAACTGAAAATGCCATTAAAATCGTGAACCGGGACTGAAACCATAACGTACGGACCGAACCGGTAAAAATTGGACTGAACAGGTCCAGCCGGTCTGAACCGGTCTGGACCGGACTGCCGGTCGGCTGAACCGGGCAGTCGGTGTTGGCTCGGCCAGCAGCCTGCCGCGTGCTGCGCGCATGGGTGCTGGATG